TATCAAAATCCAGACTCATCCCTATGGCTCATATCACCTGTGTGCGAAAAAGACTGGTAGTCACCATTGGTAGTCCCTTAAAGCCCTCTGTCATTCGCAGCTATTTAATTTTTGGGCGTTCCAGTTTGCAAACTATCTTCTTTTTGAGGACTTCCGTTTGAATGTAAGATGCCCCAATGTAGAATCCCTATTTGATTGTCCTCAGATTTAGCATCTTGCCGTTGTGGGTGTTGTGCAGACCCTTGATTCAGCTGGGGACATTCTGCTTCATCTTGATTGCGCTTCTCATGCTTTGACCTGCGTATTATGAAGGAAATAATTTGTTGAATTGCTGTGGGAGGCCTTGCCAAGAAGGAGGAGGCCTCAGCGGATGCTGCAGCCATGTGCTCAGAAAGATCGCAAGCTCTGTTGGCATGTTAGGTGGCATCCCTTAACGTACTGCTTCAGGGGCCTCTAGGTCAGATGAAGCTCATCAGAACTGAAAGCCGTATTGTACTTTTCGATGGTGCGCTGCTTCAATCTGGCGGATGTTTGTCAGGAAACTGCGGCGAACCTGAAGAAGGCTCAGGTCGCGTGCGCGTGTTGCACAAGTATGATGCAATGTTTTTGCGGGAAGGAAAAGTAAGGAGGGCTTAGGAACTTACGGGGCGGATGTTGTTCTCAGCCAGTTCGCGAGCAGCACTGCGATCTGCAGCTAATGGTTTGAGATGAGAACGTACCAGAATTCTTTGGGTCCCGCATTGAAGATCCCGTTGCTCCGATGCATGCACCTAGACCTTGGCAGACCCTAGGTCCCTGGCCCGACATGTAAGACGAAATTACGCTATGCTTGCTTGCATCATGATGATGGTGCTCACCATGGCTTTGACACTCTTCGCAAGCGACTTCCAGGAACCCCAAATGCTTTGTCTGCCTGTGGCCAGGAGAAGGAGCTTGCCGAAAAGCAACGGCTAGCTGAAGAGGCCGGGGGATGGGATATCGATTTGTCTAGTTTATCTTTCATAACTTCAGTAATTACTACCTAGTTCGCCTTTGATGTAAACACCTCAATACTAACATCCGTCATCTTGCTAGATTTGTTGTCCTCCTCGTGGGCCTCATGATTGCGTTTTTTTTTTGCCACCAGGGTGTTCGGGACTTTCGGGGTTTAGCCCGAGTGGTGTGCGGTGTAGGGGGACAGGATGTGCTAAGCCTTTTGTGATCACTAGGATGGGTTTTAACCCAACCTGAAGCGAAATATTTCTCTTGTTGCCATTGGTATCTGATGAGATGCTCGTAAAAAGTTGCCTCGTAACGCACTGGGGTTTGAGCACTTCTGTCATCCTGCTGCTCCGCCTCCAAAAGCCTGCTACTCCTACCATTACTGCAGCTGCTACTACTACTACTACTACTACTGCTACTACTACTACTACTACTACTACTCCTGCTGCTGCTGCTGCTGCTGCTGCTGCTACTGCTACAACTACATACTATTATGATGATCCTGATTTTTTTTCTTTTAGCTTGCTTTCTGAAGTTTGTCCTTGACTTCGCTCGTTGTGATATGGGAGATTATGAAGGATCAGCTGCGGTCTTTGGACCAAGCATTTCAAGTAATTTCTGATTGCTGCACCTGTTTCACTGTCAACAAATTGATTCAGGCTGAACGCAAGCTTCGAGAGCAGAAGCTAAAAGCTGAAATGGAACGGAAGAAAAAAGAGCGGGAGGACTGCCCAAGTCACACCTGTTCGGACACAGTTCAACTGTTGCCCGGACGTCCTGGGTTTAGATTTTTACACTCCAGCGCCAGTCCTTTATCCATGTGATTCTTTGTCCATATCAAGCCGAATTTCGCTAATTTCGGTGATTTCTTCATGGTATCAGGAGCAGGCGAAGAAAGCAGAGGCCAAGAAAGCCGAGGCCAAGAAAGCTGAGGCTAAGAAAGCTGAGGCCAAGAAAGCCGAGGCCAAGAAAGCAGAAGCCAAAAAAGCAGAGGCCAAGAGAGCCGAAGCAAAGAAAGCAGAAGCAGCCCTC